GCCACAGTGATCTGAGCGGGCTCCATGATCCCAGTGCTAGCTATGGCGCCTGGTCTGAAAAAAGGCGCGAAACTAGCATCTGACGGACCAGGGGAAGGAGGGAGGGCGGGCCGAGTGACGACATGACGTACAGGTACAGGGAATTAAAATCAAGAAAGGTGGCTGTGCATCAGGGAGAAACACAAACAACTGTCACACAGAATGGTCCCCCCAAAGATTAAACTGAAAACCCTGGGTTTAGCAGGCCGCTGATTTGACGGAGGGAGGGGGAAGCAAATGAATACAGAACAAATCTATTTTTTACATCTTAAGCTGGCAGACGATGGTGCAGCATGACTGATAGCCCTCGGCATCTTCTGGGTGCTTGGCTGAAAATACTGGGCGCTTGGCAGAAAATAGCATACTACGACTGATAGCCATCATCGTCGAGACGGTTCGATAGGACTGAGCATGTCTGCTCAGGTGCCCATGATTGACAGCCACTGCAGTACAATGACGACGGATATCAGTCGTAATATACCATCTTCTACCAAAAGGCAAGGGGCTGCTGTTGTGTGCAATGCAGCCCCACGTCTGCCAGCCCCACATCTGCCAGCACCCAGATCGCCGATGAAGGCTACCAGTCATATTGCACCGTCTACTGCCAAAAGGCAATTAGCTGCTGCTGTGTAGTAATGCAGTACCACGTCTGCCGGCACCCAGAGGACATATGGTGACAGTGAGCTGAGCTGAGCGGGCTCCATGCTTGGCATGGTATGTTGTCCGCACAGGTAACCCAGGTAAAAAGGCACGAATCGATTGTCTGCTGTTGCTCTGACGGAGGGGGAGGTGCCTGATGACATGTACCCAGAACCCCCCGCGACACTGTTTTGCATCATTCATGCATTGGGATCTCAACCCAGAATTCCAGTGGGCGGCGGAGACTGCAGGAACTGTGGGATAGCTACCCACAGTGCAACGCTCCGGAAGTCGACGCTAGCCTCGGTACTGTGGATGCGGTCCGCCGATTTAATGCACTTAAAGCATTTTATGTGGGGACACACACAATTGGCTGTATACAACTGATTTCTATAAAACCGGCTTCTATAAATTCGACCTAATTTCATAGTGTAGACATACCCTTAGTAGAAAAATCTATGCTTTTTAACTCTCCCCCTCTAGTGGCCTGCTCAAATTTAATAAGCTTCACACACAGTTTAAGACTTCAAAGCCTCGGAAAGATTTTTGATTCAATTTAATAGTAGGGATTGGTAGCCTGATATGAAGCATGGGGTTTCCACTGCTGGCCTTAAAGCATAAAAGCTGCTTTTTTAAAATATAGTTTTGAAAGCATTTAGGTGCTTGGTGCTGGCCCCAATGTATTTCTAAATTTACCAAAAACACCTATGAAAGAAATTTAAGATTGCAAAGTCAAGCATCCAGATTATGCAATGCCAGTATTAAGGTTGCCTGTGCAACCTTAATGCATCCCACCGTGCGTGCACAGATGATAAAGTCTTTAATTTGAATTTCAGAATTTGTTGAAAGATTCAACCTAAGTTTTTTCTGTCTTCACCAACAAAGGACATTCTTTGGCGAACAGACTTCAAGCATGTTCAAAATCCCATATAGTGAAGAACTAATCATAGAATCATAGGACTGGAAGGGATATCGAGAAGTCTTCTCGTCCAGTCCCCTGCACTCATGGCAGGACTAAGTATTACCTAGGGCATCCCTGACAGATGTTTGTCTAACCTGCTCTTAAAAATCTCCAATGATGGAGATTCCACAACCTCCCTAGGCAATTTATTCCAGGGCTTAGCCACCTTGACAGTTAGGGAGTTTTTCCTAATGTCCAGCCTAAACCTCTCTTGCTGCAATTTAAGCCCACTGCTTCTTGTCCTATCCTGAGCGGTTAAGAACAACCTTTTATGTACTTGAAAACTATCATCATGTCCCCTCTCAGTCTTCTCTTTTCCAGACCAAACCTAATTTTTTCCAATCTTCCCTCATAAGTTGTTTTCTAGACCTTTCATCATTTTTGTTGCTCTTCTCTGGACTTTCTCCAATTTGCCCACATCTCTCCTGAAATTTGGTGCCCAGAACTGGACAATACTCCAGTTGAGGGCTAATCAGCTTGGAGTAGAGAGGAAGAATTACTTCTCGTGTCTTGAATACAACACTCCTGCTAATACATCCCAGAATCGTGTTCACTTTCCCCACCCGCTTTTTTTTTTTTGGCAACACTGTTGACTCATATTTAGCTTGTGTTCCACTATGACCCCCAGATCCCTTTCTGATGTACTCTTTCGTAGGCAGTCATTTCCAATTTTTTGTGTGTGCAACTGATTGTTCCTTCCTAAATGGAGTAGTTTGCATTTGCCCTTATTGAATTTCATCCTATTTTCTTCAGACCATTTCTCCAGTTTGTCCAGATAATTTTGAATTTTAATCCTATCCTCCAAAGCACTTGAAACCCCTTCCAGCTTGGTATCGTCTGCAAACTTTATAACTGTACCCTCTATGCCATTATCTAAATCATTGATGACGATATTAGCAGAGCCAGAGACAGAACAGGCCCCTGCGGGACCCCACTCGTAATGCCCTTCAAGCATGACTGAGCCATTGATAATTACTCTCTGGGAATGGTTTTCCAACCAGTTTTGCACCCACCTTATAGTAGCTCCATCTAGGTTGCATTTCCCTATATTGTTTATGAGATGGTCATGTGAGACAGAATCAAAAGCTTTACTAAAGTCAAGCTATACCACGTCTGACTGTTATATATACACAAACCAAGTTAGATATACCATGCTGACTGTTCCTTATCACTTTAGTATCTTCTGGATGTTTGCAAATTGATTGCTTAAATTATTTGCTCCATTATCTTTCTAGGTACGGAAGTTAAGGTGACTGGTCTAATTCCCTGGGTTGTCCTTATTTTCCTTTTTATAGATTGGAACAGGGCAAATATAGTGCTAGGCTTCTGGAATCTCTCCCGTGTTCCATGACTTTTCAAAGATAATCGCTAATGGCTCAGATATTGCTTCAGTCAGCTCCTTGAGTATTCTAGAATGCATTTCATCAGGCCCTGGTGACTTGAAGACATCTAACTTGAAGTAATTTTTAACTTGTTCTTTCCCTATTTCAGCCTCTGATCCTAGCTCCTTTTCACTGGCATTCACTAAGTTAGACGTCCAATCACCGCCAACCTTCTTGGTGAAAACCGAAGCAAAGACGTCATTAAGCACCTCTGCCATTTCCACATTTTCTGTTATTGTTTCCCCCTCCCCCGATCGAGTAACGGACTTATACTGTCCTTGGTCTTCCTCTTGCTTCTAAAGTATTTGTAGACGTGATGTGCACAAAAGACTGTCCATTTTAAAATGTTTATAACTTTAAAGATATGCAACTAATAATCTTCAAACTTTGAAGAAACTTGCCAGAGCTTTACAAGTCAAGTCTGAAGTTTCCATTTTGTCATTTTATTTAGTTGCAAAATGTTCTGATCAAAGATAAGGGTTTTCACACTTGAACAAAATTGGATCAACTGATTTTGTCAAAACTTAGAAATGGCCTCTTAGCCTTAACTACGGGTCACTAGTAGAGCCTTAAATAGACACATGCATACACCATTTTGGATGTAAACATTTCTGTAGTTGTATAGAAAAGGATTTCAGTGTACAAGAGAAACAGGAGGCTTACCACTATTAGTATAACCTTATATAGTTACTTACAATTCACACTTACCTTTTTTATCACTTGCATGTTTAGCAGCTTCCACAGAATCTGAGGCAGCATCTTCTGCTTTACTAAAGAAGCCAAAGTTAGATTTACACACCAAAAGGTAACACCAGCTCAATATTTGCTTCTACATCCAATTATGAAATCACTGAAAGTATTTTATTTTATATTACATATAAAAGAATGCTATTTTTAAAGTATGACGCACAGCAGAAGTTAAAAATATGTAGATCCCATTAAAAGACATCTGTTGTCATCAGTACCTTGAGTTCAGATGTCTGAGACCTGGATATCAGAGGTTGGATATCAAGCTAATTGTTTTCTCCCATGAAAGTAAGAAGCTGAGGGAGGTTCTCACATCAACTGAGTGACCCTGGAGCTGCATCCATCCTCCCTTGGCCAGGAGGATGTTGCGACACAGGGCATTTGAGCAAGGCTTATTTGATTTTCATCTAAGAGTGGGAGAGATCCAAACTCTTTAAATAGTCAGGAAAGGAGAAATATAGGTAAAACTGATCATTCAAAGCCTCTCTGGGCATAGGAATCAAAAACAGAACACCCAAAAAGTCCTGTGAGAACAAGAATTTCAGATAAACATATTTTGGGATTTGTTTATTGAAATTTGGATAACCTGAAATTCAGGGACAATCAGGGTTTACATTTACAAGGAAAAAAATAATATGAACCCATTACAACCAACTTCTGGGAGATGTGCTGGCTATAAAAGCTTCCCCAGCAACATGATTTGGACTTGAAGACTCAGAGAGGTCAAATGTAAATAGGTATGTCTCTTGATGCCTGCAGTGCAGACTGGCCTTTGTCAGTGGTTCCTTAACTTTAACAGAGTGAACCATATCTTATTAGAAGGTAAATTTGTGAACCATCTCCACCACAATTTGCACTCATGTAGACTTCCTCACTCATTCACAATAGCATAACAACCCTGTTGCAGCTACAGCAATTACTTGCATAGAAAAATTATACAGGGAAAGAAGTATTTTTAGCCATCTTTTACTCAGTTTAACTGCTTAGACAAAAAGGGGCCAGCACCATGTAGCTGGTCAGCAAGTGCTCCCCAAGCCACTGGTGGTTCAGAGACCACAGTCTGGGAATCCATTGAACAAATAATCTCTAAATTCAAATGCAAGGAAACATGTATTTTTACAATTTTTCATAAACTCTTGTTTAACTAGACGGTAAATTCTTCAGGGCAGTGTCTCCATACGCTTGTAATGCACAATATGTAAGGCCCCACTTGAATTGCAGGATAATTATCAAAGTTGTGGCTGAGTTGCAGACAACCCATGGGAAATTTCAGAAAATAATGGACATTTATTATTTGTGGTCCATTACTTTTCCACTGTTGGCCGCCTGGTGCTCCCACTGTCAAAATTGCGGTGGAAGGCTAATATTGCAGAAATTGCAGATTCCACAATATCGCAAGTTAAGTAGGGCTTTGATACACTAGTAGCTATGAAAGTAAAAAAATACATGCCAGATGCAGTGTTTTATATTATTTCCCTACTCAGATGTATCGAATATATTTCTAATTAAGTAGTCAAAGAAGCCACTGATTACCACAGAGTTAGAGAAATCTGAGAATCAGATTTGCCCTAAAGATGGTAAAAGGAGAGCTGTTAGGGCAAGTCAGTTAAAGCTGAACCTTTGCTATCAATATGTAAATTTTGTTTCAGAGACCAGAGTATTTTTACTAAACTCTAGTTCATAAACTTAGTTTTAGAACATTAGATTTTGGTGGAAGCAAAGTCCTTCATGTCTAGGAATAATGTTATGGGCATCATGTCCAGCTATGTACAAGATCAAGATAATGATATGTTCTTTCCCCTGAGGAACTTAAAATATAAGCAACATCTTATTAGTACAAAATGGAGTAATTTACACAGGGGATTCTCTCCCAACAAGGCAGGAGCAATGTTGGGACTCTACAAAAAGCATACAATCCAGAATAATTAAATACAGCACAGGGCCTCAAAGCTCAGATTATTTCCCTATCCCCGTAAAACCTCAGATCAAGAGGGATTTTTTCTGAATCACAGTAAAAGCAGTTACTTTTAACAAATTAGAAAAAAGTTGTAATTTCAGTTTGTCCTCACCTTGCTCTTAAAAAAAAAAAAAAGAACACTAGCTTACCAGCAAACTGAAAAGTGCTTGTACCACTTAAACTATTATGTTGATAAACTTTAGATGGACATTTAGACAACACGGAAGTTATTTTAAGATAATTGCAATATATTTCATTCAGAGTCTAGACAGTTACTCCTGGGGGAATTCTGCACCACAGCACATGTGCAGAACTTATGTTCCCTGCAGATTTCTTTACTTCTCTGCAGGAAAAAAAAGACTTTCTGATGGGGAAACAAAGTGAAGCCACAAGAGTGGTCATGCAACCCGCCCCAGCAGTATGTTCCGGGTGCCCAGGGCAGTTGGCAGAGAGGTAAATCACTGTGGGGCAGGGGGCAGGACTGGGGAAGACCCGGTGGGTGGCTCCTACCCTGCGCTGAGCTCAGCTACTATTCCCGGCTGGGCTGGGGAGGAGGGGACTTCCTCTTCCCCTGCACAGCATCCGGGGCTGGGTCAGACCCACCCCCAGATTTCCCCCCAGCTGTAGGAAGCTCTGCAAACTCCCCTGCTTCCTGCACCCATCACTCCTCAGCTGCAGGAAGTGGGATCCCTGTACAGTGAACTGCTCCCCCATCCGCCCAACCCCCATGCATCCAGACCCTTCATACCCAGACTCTCCTGCTGAGCCTCACCCCCACCCTCCTGCACTCAGAACCCCCCCCCCCGATGAGCCCCATTTCCCCTGCACCTGGACCACCCTGATGAGCCACCTGCACAGATCCCCACCCCACAGAACCCCAACTAGCTGCACCAGGATCCCCATCCCACTGAGCCCCACTCCTCCCAGCATCTGGGCCCTCCACTGAAACCCTCACACCCAGACCCCCCTGCCAAGCTCTTCCTCCCCCACCCAGACCCTCCCCCCACTGAGCCCCAACCACCTTCACCTGGACCCCTCTACAAAATCCCATTACTGTTACCCCCAGAACCCTCCAACAAGCCCCTGTGCTCCCAGATCCCCCTCCACACCCAGATCTTCCACTGAGTCACCTGCATACCCTCCCCCCCCGAACCCTCTCAACCCACACCTGAATCCCCCCACACTTGGAACCTGCCTTGCTGAGCCTGCCCGCCCACACCTGGCATGGAGGGGCCCTTGGGTGTTTCTGTAGGCTGGCCCTGTCCTTGCACTACGTAAGGGTTGGGTTCAGCCTCACCACTGAGTCTGTGGGGTGGAGGCTGCACAGTGATCTCCCACCTCTCTGCAACCTGTGCTCCCCAATGCCATGCTGGAGCATCCACATTTATTTGACAAATAAAATTAGCAGAATTTTTAAATATTGTGCGCAGAATGCCCTCAGAAGTAGACAATACAAAGAACAGAGTGATTTTACACATGACCATTTGTGCAACATTCTTAGCTTCCTATGCATCAATTCATTTTCCTTTTTCATGGGAGAAAGCATTAATGTTCTGGCTAGCCTTCTCTATTTTTGATTTGCCAAGTTTCATGAAAGAACCGCTTACTAAGATACTGGTGAGCTTTGAAGATGGGTAAGTAGCAAACAATTTCTGTTTAGAACAGATATTGAGAGCATTCTGACTTACCTGTTATCTGCCATCTGTATGCTTGTATCCACCTACAAATTAAAATATAAAATGTTTAGGACACAATATACTGTTCTCATATAAAATTATCAAAATCTGATTAACACCTCAAGATGCTTGCAATTCTAGCTGCAGGATCTGCTAAGGAACAGTCAACAGCCATAAGCAGGATCTTACGTACTGTACATCTTTCACCGGACTGGTCACACCGAGCATCACATCTGAATGTAAGTTTATGAGCAGCTGTTCTATGATGTGATCTCATGGAATATTTAGTATCAGGGGGTAGCTGTGTTAGTCTGTATCTACAAAAACAACAAGGATCTGTTAGTCTTTAAGGTGCCACCAGACTCCTTGTTGTTTTCATGGAATATTTGTTTTTAAATGGCTAAATAGCTCTTTACATCCCTTAAAAGTAAGTAATTTCAGCCTGTAATCTGTTCCTATGGCATCATAAAATCTGAACTATATACTAAAAACAAAAAAGTGTTAAAGCCTAGGTTATGTATCAGTAAGATAGTTCTGTTTGATAACCTCCTATTTAGGAAAAAGAACAGGAGTACTTGTGGCACCTTAGAGACTAACACATTTATTAGAGCATAAACTTTCGTGGACTACAGCCCACTTCTTCAGATGCATATAGAGTGAAACATATATTGAGGAGATATATATACACACTATACAGAGGGCACCTGTTCATGCTCTCTGTATATGTGTATATATATCTCCTCAATATATGTTTCACTCTATATGCATCTGAAGAAGTGGGCTGTAGTCCACGAAAGTTTATGCTCTAATAAATGTGTTAGTCTCTAAGGTGCCACAAGTACTCCTGTTCTTTTTGCGGATACAGACTAACATGGCTGCTACTCTGAAACCTCCTATTTAGGTTCGCTGCTCCTTTTCTAAAAAAAGGATTTTTCCTCTTATGTTACCCAGTACTTAGTCATCTCATTCAACTCCTGTCTCAAACAGGAGTGCACATAGATATTCTCAAATACAAACATGACAAAGGGCAGTACAACTAAAGAGCTGAAATACTCCTGACTCAGAAGTTTTAATGATCAAGGTTTCCCCTTTTTTCACTTCCTAGTCTTTTCCTCCCATACTCTTTCCTAACTTGGAGGCATAGACATGGAAATCTTGAATAGGAATAAAGAGGTTATTTTATGTCTGGCACTGGTACAACTGCTGCTGGAATACTGTGTCCAGCTCTGGTGCTTGAAATTCAAGATGGACATTGATAAACTGGAGAGAGTTCAGAGAAGAGCCATGAGAATGGAGAGAGAGAGCATGCAGTATTCCAGCATTTCCTTCTATCTCTTGCCCCCACACTAAACCTGATACCTGGCCCTAAACACCAGTCTTATTTTCAGTCTCTCTGACCCAATGACTATTTGCATATTCACCCCAAGTGGAATAGCTTCAATAGGAGAGATTTAGAGAGCCCTACATCAGAATATCCCATAGCTCAGTGATTAGAGCACTCTCCTGAGAGGTAGGAGACACTTGTTCATATCCTCTCCCTTCATGAGACCGGGGTGGGTGGGCGCTGAACCCAGATCTCCCACATTCCAGGTATGTGTTCTAACCAATAGGCTAGAAGTTAAGGTGGACACCACCTCCCACTTCCTCCTCCAGCAGACAGATTTTGAATTAAACTTGATTTGGTATGCAACCTCTGAGCACACCTACCTTATCAAGCCCCGCATGGGAGATAGGCGGGAGAATGCCTATCTTCCCCTGGTTCGTGCACTGATCTGGGGTTTAGGTTCAGGAAATCTAAAGTGAGGCAGTAATGTATGTGTCCAGAGGCAGAAATGTCTGCACCTAGAGAATGTTTACCCTGAAAATTTAGGCACCAAGTTTTGGCACCTACAGAAGTCAGCTGGAGTTTTGTTTATCACAGAAGAGCCTACAATTGTGACTTAGGAGCCAAAGACTGGGATACAGGTGCATAAGTACCTTTGTGGATTGGGGCCTAAGGCCCAGTTTGACTATTGCCATGTGTCAAGCAAGCTCTGAGGAAGGCCAATCTCCTACATGGTAGGTATAATAAATTAACATCAAGACACCAACTGCTGCTGCAATATTCTAGTATCAAGCACTTGCGTATCGCCTAGAAATTTGAGGTGTCAGAATTTAGACGTTTGGGGCATTCATAGAATCCCAAACTTTCAATCATGATTTAATAATTATTTGTGATGGAGAACCCACCACTTCCGTTGGTAAATTGTTTCTATGATTAGTTATTCTCACTGCTAAAAGTTTATGCCTTATTTCCAATCTGAATTGGTCTAGTTTCAAATTCCAGCCATTGCATTGATTTATACCTTTCTCTGCTCCCAGGGGTTCTCAAACTTAATTGCACCACAACCCTCTTCTGACAACAAAAATTATTACATGATCCCAGGAAGGGGGACTGAAGCCTGAGCTCACCTGAGTCCCGCCACCCAGGGCGGGGAAGGGAGGCGTCCAAAGCCAAAGGGCTTCAGCCCCAGGTGGGGGGCCTGTAACCCCGCCGCCCACTGCTGAAGCTCTTGGGCTTCAGCCTCGGGCCCCAGCAAGTCTAATGCCAGCCCTGCCGTCCCAATTAAAACAAGGTTGTGACCCACTGTGGGGTCCCAACCCAGTTTGAGAACCGCTATGCTAGACTGAAGAGTCCATCATTAAATACTTGTTTTCTGTGTAGATACTCACAGACTATAATCAAGTCACCCCTTAACCTTCTCTTTGTTAAGTTAAAAAGACAGACTCAATAACTCAGTCACTAAAAGGTGTTTTCTAATCCTTGAACCATTCTCATGGCTCTTCTCTGAACTCTCTCCAGTTTATCAATGTCCTTCTTGAATTTCAAGCACCAGAGCTGGACACAGTATTCCAGCAGCAGTTGTACCAGTGCCAGACATAAAATAACCTCTTTATTCCTATTCAAGATTCCCATGTCTATGCCTCCAAGCATTGCAGGAGGTCATGTTAAGCTAATTATCTACCAAACCCCCCAAATCTCTTTTCAGGGTCACTGCTTCCCAGGACAGAGCATCCCATCCTGTCAGTATAGCCTATATTCTTTGTTCCTAGACGTATTTAGCCATATTAAACCGACATTGAGAAGCTGTGCTCAAGCAAACGAACCAGATGACTCTGTATCAGTGACCTTTCCTCTTCATTATTTACCACTACTCCAGTGTGCGTGTTATCTGCACACTTCATCAGTGATTGTATGTTTTCTTCCAAATCATTAATAAAAGAGTTAGATAGTGTAGGGCCAAGTACCGATTCCTGCAAGACCCAATAGAAACATACCCGTTTGATTATATTTCCTATTTATAATTAAATTTTGAGATCAGTTAGCCATCTTCAAATTCATTTAATGTGTGCATGTTAATTTTATATCATTCTAGTTTTTAAATCACAGTGTCATGTGGTCCTAAGTCTAAGTATATTACATCAACACTATTATCTTTATCAACCAAACTTGTAATCTCATTAGAAAAAAAGATATCAAGTTAGTTTGCTAGAATCTATTTTCCATAAATCCATATTGATTTGCATTAATTACATTACCCTCCTCAAATTCTCTATTAACTGAGTTTTATATCAGCTGCTCCATTATCTTCCCAGGGATCAATGTCAGACTGACTGGCCTATAATTAAGGCTACATTTTAGTCATGGATATATTTAGTAAAAGTCATGGACAAGTCAAGGGCAGTAAACAAAAATTCATGGCCCGTGACATGTCCATGACTCTTACTATATACCCTTAACTAAAACATAGGCGGGGGGCTGCGGGTGCTCTGAGGGGGGTGGGGTGGTGGTCCAGGGGCACTGGCCCAGGACCCTGCTGGTGCTGCAGGGTGTGGGGGGGACAGGCCATGGCCTGGGACTCCTGCTGGTGCTGGAGGTGGTTGGCGGGGCTGGCAGGGGCTCCCTACCCGACTCCAGGTGTCCTGGCTGCAGGTCCTAGGTGGTGGATAGGCCATGGGGTTTCACACACTGGTCCCGCCACAAGCACCGGCTGCACAGCTCCCATTGGCTGGGAACTGCACTCCCCCTCCCCCCCACAACCCAAACTGCTGTGCTTCTGAGCCAACACCGGCTCCTGTAGAAGTCATGGAAGTCACGGAAAGTCATGGAATCCATAACCTACATGACAGACTCGTTGCCCTACCTGTAATTACCCAGGTCATCCTGTTTACCCCATTAAAAATGTGGAACAACATTAGCTTTATTCTAGTCTTCTGGAACTTTCCCAGTGTTTCAACACTTATTGAAGGGATACTTTCAAACAGAGCTCTTCCAGTTAGAGAAAACTTAAGAGAAGGTCAGAAATCAAAAAATAGTACAACTTTTAAAACAAGCTCTTCCTACAGAGATCATGGAATTGCCTGTGAATTCTGGAAGAGTTAAGTATGATAGAGCCAGTGCATTTCAATGAGAAAGTAAGTGGTATCATGGCGTCTCCATGTTTACTGTGATAATTATTTCCATGATAAGCAAGCTCAGTTTACAGTTTTATAACTGTTGGCACTCAAATATTGGAGCTTAGAATCAAGAGAGTTATTTCTTGGGCATCACCACCAATAAGCTTTGCAGGACAAGTTATGGTCTCAGTTACCTCGAGCAAACCATTATCTTCAAATTATGCCATTAGTGACAGAATATTAAAACACAGAACAAAATAAAAACAAACAACAACAACAAAAAGCCACCTACCTCACTAGTCCTGGGAAACATGCTGTAATTAAAGTCTGCCTGATGCAAACCAGACACGATACAGGTTAGCTGAAGCAGCATAGGAATGGAAATAATTGGGAGGTAGGGGAGGGTCTCAGCCCATGTAGGGCCCAAAAACAAAGGCTCAGCCCCAGAAGGAAGGGCTTGCTCACCTCTAACAGGCACAGCTTTGAAAAAGGTCCTGCAAGCTTAATGTCAGGAGGCACCATCCCACAAGAGGGAATGCATTTTGAAAAAGAAAACTTTCATTTTGTTTAAAAAAAAGATTTCAAGTCCTTACAGTTGCATGTAAGCCAACACACAGAGGAAGAAACTGAGCCTGCTGCACTGGGAAAAGAGTGGTAAAATGAGGCCCAGTCAGGATCAGACCACCCCTCCACTCAGTTAGCCACCAGATCCAGAATTGTGTAGGAGAGAACCCTCTCACTCTGGGTGCATTAGGACCCGGGTGGGGCCTCCCCTCTCCCACCTCACCATATGGGTTGTATAAGAGTCAGCCCCAGAGACTCCAGCCAGTAGGGGCAAAAGCAGCCAAAAAGCCAAAGCATATCTTTGGACCTTTGCATATTTAGAGGACTTTCTGTAGTACCGACTGGACTTGCTCCACCCCTGTGTTGATTGGCTATTTGTTCTAACCTTAACTCCTAATCCCCCATTCTCAGTCTCTTCACCTAAACCTCACTCCACACCTATCTAATTTCTTACCCCTTTACTCCCCTGCCTTGCCCCCTCACCTCTTATTTCCATTTAGTTTATCCCTTCCAAACATACACCCTCAAAAAGTAAATAAACAGCATAACCACCATATCTAATGCCATCACTCTGCTTGTGTTATACCCTTTCCCATGTGCACGTATGTCTTGTTGAATTAGACTGTAAGCTCTTTTGTAAGCAGGTACCATCTACTGTTTCTGAGCACCTAGCTCAGCGATGGGAAAACTACGCCCCACCAGGCCGTCCTGCCCAGCCCCTGAGCTCCTGGCCTGGAAGGCTAGTCCCTGGCCCTTCCCCCACTATTCCCCCTCCCTCGCTGCCTCAGCTTGCCCCGACACTAGCGCAATGCTCTGGGCAGCGGGACTGCTAGCTCTTGCCGGGCAGCGCAGCTGCAGAGCCGGCCTGACCCGGTGCTCTGTGCTGTGGTGTGGCTGGCTCCAGTCGGGCAGCGTGGCTGGCTGCCCTGGTGCTCTGGGAAGCGCAGTTGTAAAGCCACCAGCGCTCCAGGCAGCATAGTAAGGAGGCAGGGAGCAGGGGGGTTGGATAGAAGGCAAGGGAGTTCGGAGTGGTGGTCAGGGGTGTGGATGAGGTCAGGGTGGTCAGAGGGCGGGGAACAGAGGGGTTGAATGGGGGAGGGGCTCCAGGGGGCAGTCAGGAATGAGAGGAAGGGTTGGATGGGGCAGAGGTTCAGGGGGGGAGGAGACATCAGAGGGCAAGAAGCAGGGGGGTGGTCAGATGGGGCAGTGGCTGGGCCACACCTGGCTGTTTGGGGGGGGCACAGCCTCCCCTAACCAGCCCTCCATACAATTTCAGAAACCTGATGTAGCCCTCAGGCCAAAAAGTTTACCCGCGCCTGACTTAACTCAATAAACCCCCAGTCTTGGTTGGCCCTTAGGCATCAGAGCCATCCCTAGGAACCACTCCAGGCCCTGTGCTTTGGGGAGCCCCACGGGCTGGCATCTTCTCTCCCAGCCTACCCTAAAAACAAAAAACACATCATGGACCATGAAATGTGGTCTTGTGTGCACTTTTACCCTATACTATACCAATCTCATGGGGGAGACCAAAGTGTCTCAAAGTGAGGGAGGGTCCTGACCCAAAAAGGAATTGTGGGGGGGGGGGGGAGGAAGGTCACAAGGTTATTTTAAGGGGGATCGTGGTATTGCCGCCCTTACTTCTGTGCTGCCTTCAGCGCTGAGCAACTGGAGAGTGGCGGCTGTGGGCTATCAGCACCCCGCCAGAAGCAGTGCAGAAGTAAAGATAGCAATGCCATACCCGTGCCACCCTTACTTCTGTGCTGCTGTCTGCAGAGCTGAGCGGCTGCTGACTTGCGGCTGCTGACTAAGGGCCCAGCTCTGCAGGCAGCAGTACAGAAGTAAGGATGGCATACCTTGCCATTCTAACTTCTGTGCTGCTGCTGGCTCTTCCTTCAGAGTTGGGCTCCCACTCTCCAGCTCTGAATGCAATGCCACCGTCTGCAGCAGTACAGAAGTAAGAGTAGCAGTACCACAACCCCCCTACAATAACCTTGCCACTCCCCCCCCCCCAACTCCTTTTTGGGTCAGGACCCCTGCAATTACAATACCATAAAATTTACTATTTTTAAAATCCTATGACCCTGAAATTGACCAAAATGGACTGTGAATTTGGTAGGGCCCAACAACTCATGGGTAAGCCAAACCTCAGAAGAAAGTTACAATGTCTGTGTCAGACCTTTTATACATAACTTTGTAGGCAGCAACCAACTATCAACTTTATATTCCTGCTGGGGAAACTTAAGAGAAATAAAAATAGGGAATGAACAGAACTTCTTTAAGCTGGTTCACATAACCTCTTCTTTGCACGATATTTAAACTCCTTTTAAAGGCCTATGCTTGCCACACAATAAGGTGGCAATAAGTCAAGGTGACTTGGATAATTTGGCTGTTTTCTCCTTCCCCTAGTGCCTCTATACTTTTTCCTCTGCCCTTCTGCTGTGAGTGTCTCAACGTGCAAGGTCCAGCCCGCTTGAGGATATGAAATGCAGCTACCAAATGAGTAGGATAATAAGACTCTTACGCACTCTCTCAGGATACCTGGGGAGACGCAGCAGCGTGCAATCGGGGCAGGGGAGTAGAAGAAGTGAGCTCCCTACCCAGGGCAGCCGGAGAAGAGACGGGGTGGCAGCGAGGTGAACACAGCGGTGGGGGAAGGAGCGCCCCCAGGTCCCGGCCTCCCCGCAGGGGAGCAGAGCGGAGGCACGCGGGGCCGGGGATCCTCATGCCAGGCCTACAATCACTGAGACGCCCCACACAGCGGCCCCGCGGAGCCGAACTTTCCCGGCGCAGCGACAGAAGCTCCGCGCAACCCTGCCCGCTCGGAGCTAGGCCCGCCCCACGCCAGTGGGGCGCCCCGGGCCTCCCACGCCACTCCCGGAGCCCCACCCCGGGCTAGAGAGGCCGCCTCCGCTCGCCCCAACCGCAAACAGGGAGGGCGGGCCTCGCTCCCAGGCATGGGGGCCCCCTCACCTAGCTACAGCCGGGAAAGGACAAGGAGCTCAGACCGGCCCCACCGGCCCTCACCTGCCCGGGCCTCGCGTCTCCTCACGGCCCCACCAGCGACGCCTAAGCTTCTCTCAGGCAGACTCACTCGGGCTGCGCCGCCGTCAATAAGACCGCTTCCCATTGGGCGACGCTCAGGCAGCCCGCACAGTAAAACCCACCTCGATTGGCCCGCAAGGAACCACGGCTCTGCACGCGGGCCATGTTGACTATCCGGCGCAGGAGCGCTTAGCCAATCAAGGCGGGAGGGCAGCTTGGTGTGGGCGGGAAAAAGGGGAGGGAGGGGTGCGCGCTCGCGGCTGCGCGCGCGTCCGGGTATAAGGGGCGGGAGCATTGGCTCAGGGGGAGTTGAGAGCGTGTGGCTGGGGAGAGGGACCTAGTCGCGCCTAGGTAGTTAAAGGGACAGACTCGAGGAAATGGTGGGCGCGCGGAAGTGGTTGCCAATTGCAGCTCTGTTGTGGGTGTTTGTTTGTCACACTCAGTGGAGAGTAACATTATAGAGGTAGCAAATTTTTTAAAGTACTTTCCGTAATAACATCATCCCAGGCTTTCAGCATTCAGCTTCATCCAGCTGCCCTTCATGATAATCTTGACTATTTTAGTTGAGATGCTGGACATGTTGGATTTGGCACTGTTCGGATCGGATATGAAGATGATATAGAACTTCAGTCTGTAACCTTATAATTTCTTCTAATGTAGTTTTCTGAATAGAATATTTATTCCATAGGTCTCCCACAAAACCTTTAGATTATTTTACATTTTTCACCTCTGTAGAGGCTGTTTTTTCTTTAACAAACCAAGAAAAGAGAAAATGGATGGAAAACCATGAAAATGGATAGTAATAAGAGAAAGGTAATTTTCTTTGTCTTTCCAAAGCCTTTGCCACTGTTTTCTTATTTCTACATTTTGTACTTCTGGTCTAATGCAGTGGAGCAGGGTGAATGTGCTCAATTTTGGCTGAGTGAATCATCTGTCCATTTAGCTTCTGCAGCTCAATGACAAATAGAGCTAAATATTACAGATTTTTACTAAATAAAGGGCTATTTTCTTGTCCAAATTATACTGATATCAACTAATAATTTCTAGCTGTTATCTGAATCAAATTTCTACTAGGTATATTATGTATACTACATATACTATTACAATACATCTATTCACTACACCAGGCCATGTCATTTTTTGAAATTATATAACATTTGGTACAAGAGATACTCCTTTTTACATTAATTTACAACTAATTTAATATAACAGAATAAAAGATCAAGAGGAATATGATTAAAATAAATTACAGTATACAGTAATGTATCCTGAGAAACGATCAAAACAGAGTCTTGAGTCACTATGTAATTCTTACATATTTCTCTAGAAAAAGTTGAGAGGTGCAGTCTGAAATTAAGCTGGAGGTCTGCATGGGTAAAGTCTCCTACCATCATTCATTCTGGAGAGAAGAAACAATTACTCTATATTATGTTCTAGAAATAAAATAGTGTTGAAGCTCCTCAATTCAAACAATGATTTGACAGAAGCATGAAGAGTCTGAAGTATTTTGAGGAATTACGTTTACCGGGGTACCCATGTGAATAATTCTTCGTATATATTTGCATGATATTCTCAGATGCTTCATCATACTCCATTATATTCTTTCTGTACATCAGATAAAGTAATATTTACTTCCTATTTGATAAATTTTAATATTAAACAATCTGAAGATTGACTGCTTTTAATAATTCTGGTCTATGTTACAAACAATATTAGTTTATTTGAAAACAGCAGCATAATAACTCAATTGAAATTTCTGTAGCTGCTTAGAAAACTCTTAAACTGTGCTCATGACTCATGATGCAATAGGTTCCTATGATTAAATTATAGCTTTGCATTTAGATGAGAACCGAACTATTATTCTACAGATGCTGTGATTTTTGCAGAGACTTTATTTCAGTTATTCTGAATTAATGACGTCTATTTACCATACTTTTTCTTAAATGCTTTATTTTAAAGTTGAGAATAGAGTTGATAAATCTAAATATTATCCATTACAAAATAACAGTTTTAAATTACAATCAACCATAGTAAAACTGTATCATCAGTAACCATCTTGAATTCAAACATAAAACCCATTCAAAGTAATACAAAATGAGCTTTAAAATACAAGTTGATATTTAAATCAAGTACAATGCATTTTGTATTTAAGTATATTAGAATGATATACAACATAAAAAGGTAGATATACAAGGAAGATATACAATTATGAAATGTAAAGGGCAGATTCAGTACCTTGAAGACTTAAAAATAAAAAGCAGCAATATGAAATTGAATTAGCATGATATTTTGACATATGAGCCTCAATTCAATCCTGGAGTAACTTAGTTGATTTCTTATCTAAGTGGGATGTCACTAAATCAGACAGTTCAATTTTAGGGGATTACTTCACATCTTGAGTACCGATTTTGGGAAAAGTTGGTGTTTTGCATTCCCTTCAGAAAAGTCATGCTTGGGCTCAATCTGATGTCCTTGAAGCATGGAGTTTCACAGAATTTTTGATTATTGAAATGGTGGAGTCCATGAAATTTTGACAAGCACGACTCAACAGAAGTTGTACAAATCCAGAATTATTTTGAAGTTCTAATTGTCCTATCACCATTGTAGTCAAGAGAAGTTTTGCTTACTTAAGTACCACAGTTGGACACTATGAACCTGACCTGCATCTGCTGAATACCAACAACTTGTACAACTTTCAGTGGAAAATGAGATGCTCAACAGCTTTCAGGATCATAACCGACATCGACACTTTTGATATATAATGTGGCATACTGCCCTTTTTTCTGTTTGAAAATCTGGCAGTAATACATGGGAGTATTTTCAGTAGATTAAGGGGGAGGAAGGCCAGTATGCCTACTCTGCACCTGATCTTTTCCCAGAGTTTTGCAGACTAAAAATGTCAACAATACCAAAGCTCTGTCCTATGCAGAGTAAAAAAGACACCACTACAGTAGTTTTGTGTTGTCTTAAATATAATATTCATTCAAAGCAAGACCATCATGAATTCAACAGAGAAAACAGTTCTGCTATGCAGTGGCCTGGAAACTTTTTTGTGTGTGTGGCAAAGTAAAAATAAAATCTTCACTGTGTGTTTTGTCTTTTTAAATGTCTAAAGTGCTTAAGCAAATGAAGCGTCCTTTCCCTTTGGAATAAAACAACGTTTTACATTTCAGCTTGTTTGCAACAGTTCCAGATAGCAGCAGTGGAAAAAAGTGGAAGTGGAAAAAAGCCAATTTGGTCTTATTTAGTATCTGACTAAAATCAGCATTGCAGAATATTTTTCCATCTGAAGTGCTGTGTTGGCAACTTACCCAAAGCCTCATGCACAGATCTATTCCCCCAAGAGCTCTGGGGCTGTTCTATCTTGCATCAGCAGTAATGGTCCTCCAGAGTTTACATGAGAGCCAGGGATTGCCAGACTGCTGTGTGCTCTGAACATGCCCCCTCCTCTCCCAACAGGGCGAGGCAGAAGCATTTACATTGACATTAAACAACCCAGAGATTTCCCTGCACCAGGGAAATCCTCAGCTACCCAATTAAGGTGGCCTTTTTGCACTGCTGGATGCAGGGGCGCTCTATAAAATGGAGTAGGTTGCAGCCTTCCTCATCATTAGCAGGGAGGTGTGGCTCGTGGATACAACAGGGTTCCATAGCCTGTTCATCTTGAGCCAACTGGCGTTCAACCCACCTACTTGATGGTGATCGTAGAACTGGGTGGAAAGTTTTCATTAGAAGTTTTAGCTGAAAACTTGGTTTTGAATAAAACAAAGATTTTGTGGAAACTTTGTTTTTCTGAAAAAAAAACATGTCAGTTACTTGGTTTCCTCCTTTATTCTAGTAGAAAAAGGGGAGGAGGGAGTGGAAGTCAAACAAAACACACTTTCTCACGCATTTTTACTCCATTACACCCTCTTTTCAATTGGAAAAGTGGGATTTTTTAAATTAGGTTTAAAAAGTGAAAATGGCATATTGTCTCTTTTTTTACCTCCCTCCCATTTTTCCCAGTGGGGAACAAGTAAAATGTGAGTTGCGGGGGAGTGGGAGGGTGGAGTGAAAACAAGCGTTTCAAAATGTTTGACGCAATGGGGAAGATTCTGGGTTGTGTTTAGTTTGGAGGGAGGGAAAATCAGCCAGCTCTGGTCAGGGCCGGTGCTAACATGTAGGCCAACTAGGTGGTTGCCTAGGGTGGCAAGATTTGGGGGTGCCAAAAAGCGGTGCCCCCAATTTTTTTTTTTTTTACAGCGGCCGCTGCACTGGGAGGGAGCGGGAGTCTGAGCCACTGGCAGGCAGCCCAGGGGTTCCCCTGGGTCAGAGCTGCCGCACGGATCCCCGGGCCGGGGGGGTGGGGAGCTGCCGCGGGCAGGGCCGGCTCAAGGTTTTTTGCTGCCCCAAGCAAAAAAAATTTTGGCTGCCCCCTCCCCACACCCTCCTGCCGCCCCAGCCCTGGGTCACTGGTAACTCGCTCCCAGGGCGGGTCATTCAGCAGGAATTTTGGATGTGCACAGAACACAGACAGGATTGGTTCCCATATGGTTACAGAACTGCAGTAAAGTGGAACAATTTTCAGCTTGTGTGATTGAAGGCTATCTGGATGGATATAAGACTGTCCTACATAAATGAGGAAAAGTTGAGGTGCCTTTATTATTCTTTTGTTCCATTCTTTGTTTCTATGGGGAATTTGCCAATGCAATATCACTGTCTTCCTTTTAAACAAATAAAACTAAAACTTAAAAATAAAATAATAATAGTAATAAAGCAATGGCTGTTGAAAATAGCAATTCCAGTCCTAATAACCACTGGGAAGCATTTCTTGCTCAATTTATTCTACTTTTTCCTACAGCAAGTTACAGTGGATCAGTATATTTGATTTGGGGGAAATGAAGTAACAGCTGCCCCAATTGAGCTTGAGCACTCTGGAATTTTGAGGGCGTTCAAATCTGGAAGGCAGGTGCTGCATTCCCTTTCTGACTATTAGCTAAATCTGGAAAAGAAAAGTCAATTTCTGCTTCCATGGCTCAGAAGTGTAAATCCTCCTACATATCTGGTACTGTATCTAAAGCTGCCCAGTCTAGTA